TTGATATTGACACTGGCTTCCACATGCATGACTACACATGTACCTGTGCCCCCAATCCTTGCACACATGTGCACACACATGTAGGTGAACACAGAGCACAGCCCCCTCCACCCAGAGGCTTCTTACAACATCACAGAGTCCTTCTCTAGAAAGAGCCTCAGGAATCCAGTGAGGGAGATTCTGTCTGGGAAGAACTCTGGAGCGGGGAGGGACCTGTTCTTCACTCCATATTATCTCCTAAACATTTTGAATCTTTTACCAAGTGCATCTTTTCTATTATCAATTCAAAAACGTAAAATTGATACTTGAAAGCCGTGAAAATAAGTAACTCTGGGTAGCAGGTAGTCACCTGTTGAAAAGGCGCAATCTGCTGCCCTCCTAGATCAATCTCCAGGAGGAAATTGGTTTTCCTGGGGAGAAGATGTAAAGGAAGTGGCTCGTCCTGGCATGCATTCATGAAGGTTGTCTTTCCAAGCAGGCTGCGCACAGGCTGTGCAGCTCTGGCTGTGTGGTGGGAACCATGAGGACCTTGCTGCCATCAAGTACCAGGTCACTAACTCCTCCCTGGCAAATCTTAGAGAGGGTGGAGAGTAGATCAACCTCGCTCTCCCTCACTCATACCCAGAGCTCTGTTCCTTCCAATGTCACCTCAGATCCACCCCCTGCTCTGCCCCCACTTCTGACAGTGCATAGAGCTGGTGCTCAGCCCAGACGACAGGGCAGACTCCTCACTGGTTTCCATTCCTCTGCTCTTCTCCTGTTGGGCAGATGACATGGGCTCCAGTATCTCCCCACTAGGTGTGATGAGCCCCAAATCCAGGGGCTCCAAGGCCATCATCTTCTGTGTGTACCTTGCTCCTCGCCATTGTGCAGTTTCTGCCTACTTCAATGTTTCTGCAGTGGCTGAGTCTTGTCCGGATGGCTGGCTCCCTCTCAGCCTCTGGGAGTCACCTCAGGTTCATCCTCAGGAACATTTGCTCTGGCCTCCCACAGCTTGCTCTGGGGCTCAAGGGCTACTGGTCTGCTCCGTGGCACTGACTGACCACCCAGGGAAACTCTCTGGTACAATGTGTGACTTCACTGTTTGTCTTCACCAATAAGACCACCAATAAGGGGAAATGGGTGGATAGATGGAGCAGTGTATAACAAGCAACCCCTGAGGTTCCTCTGCCCACCCAGGCATTTCCTCCTGGTGTCCTATGCTGATGAGGCAGGGACCCAATTAATGAGGAAGGAGGACTTACCGCTGTCACCTCATATTGAGGTGTGCTTTTAACACTGACCTTCAGATACCTGCAAAGTCCTGCACAGTGGTGGCCCTAGGACCTCGGCTGTCTGATTCTGACTACTGTGCCTATTACTAAACTCCTCCCATATTCCCCCTGCAGGTGGAAGAGAATCCTAAGGCAGGAATTGGGTGGAACATTTGTGCCAATGCCTGGGTTTATTTTAACCCCTCATCTCTCAAGTGCTGAGCTGCTAGGCTAACTTGACGCGTGAAGGGGTGGGAAGGGCAGAAAGCTTTCAACTGATTCAGAAAAGGTCTCAATTGAGCCTTACTTCCCATCCCATTTTCTTTAATTACATTAGCATCTGCAGCAAGGCGGCCTCAGCCATTGGTGCTTGCACAGACCACAGCCACGACGACCAGAGTGGCTAATTGGCCAGTGGGGCGGTGCAGTGGCTGGGTCTCTGCTCTGCTTTTGGCCCTTCCTAATGAGTTGATGAATGTACTGCACTGCGGCTGCCCATCCCTCCCCAGATGGCTTCTGCCTGTTCGGTCAAATGAGTGATGTCCAGCCTCTCCTTCTAATCCACCCCATTCCGTCTCTCCACCCACAAACTCCTGGTATGACAGTTCCCTTCCATGGTCAAAAGCAACTCCTTTCTTATTGCCTGCATCTGTATGAGTGAGCTTGATGGTTCTTTGTCAGTCACAAGAGCAGTGTTTTCCCTCCCAATGATGCTTTGGGCAGCAAGAGTTCTATCTTCACCAAGACTCCTCCTCACAGACCCCTTTACTCCAAGGCCATTGTGAACAGAAACATCTTAACCTCAGATGGTCTCAGGCAGCCAGCCTCACACACAAGCTTTACCCCATCACTTGACCCCTTTCTCAGTTTCCATGTTTTTCTACCACTCAGAGTGACCTTCCTTTACAAGGCTCCTGAGGGTGTGACTGGGTCATGGTGGCTGGTGCTGATGAGGTGACAGATGAACGGTGCATTTTTGACTCTTGTTTCTTTTATTGAAGTGGCAGGTCAAGGGAGGCCCACACCTTGTCCAACCCAACTGTTAATCTAGAAACTTCTACCTTTAGCTCAGAAGCTGCTAGTTGGTCCCCATTTGGCCCTAAACCCCATGGTTGGATTGCTATGTGAATCCCATGTAGCTTTGGCCAGCTGACCCGAAACCAATCCTGATGTTAGCTTTGTGATGAGCCTCTACCGTGAGGTCTTGTCTCTAGCCCTACTTTGTCCTCTCTGCTTTCCAAGTCAGGTACCAGCACCGCTTTGTGGGGAGGTGGCCCTGACTAAGGAGCAAAGTATGCCACCTTCATAGATATATACACATCAAGACCACCTATCCATTTCTCTGTGCCCTAGACATGCTCCATCAATGGCATAATATGAGAGTGGTCATTGCTTGGGGTCTTCCATCTTAGGGTTCACACCTCCCCCCACTGCCACAGGGCTCACTGTTGCAGCTTTCCCCTACCTCCCTGGGCCTTAAAGCTCACTGGCTCTGCCTGGACCTTCCTTGTCAGATGGACATATGGGCTGACACAACTGACTGTGGCCACCTATTAAGGACCCTATTAAGGGTCCATACTGGCCAGCTTTATCAGAAATTGCTGGCTCTGAGTTCCCTTTCCAGTATATAGTTCCCTGTGCATAGGGCCAGGTCACAGGTCTCACTGAGACACCAAGGTCTGAAAGGCAGGCAGTGGAAATTAGAATGTAGACCAATGCTAGAACAAGTGCTTCCCTAGCATATGCCAGGCCCTGGATTCCATCCCCAGTTCCCTAGGAAACAACAAAAAGGGCTAGACAATGGAAGGAGACAGGGGGCAGAGAATAAGACTTTTGTTGCAATTCTTTCCATTCTTTCTTGTTGAGACAGTCTCATTAAGTAGCTTAGTCTGACCTTGAACTCAGCAGCCTCCTATCTCAGCACCTAGAATGTTGGGATTACAGGCAAGTGCCACCATGTCCATCCCAGCCCATATTGTTTTTGAGAGTGGTAGAGGACAGGTCAGCATTAATACCAAGTCAGACAACAGCTGTGCTCTTGGCAAATGACTCGAACTGAAAACATGTTCAGACAGGATTGCCCATGGCACGGCATTCATCATGGCAGATATCACCCAAGCATCCATCAATGGTAAAATCAGCATCTGTATGAACAGTTTCCATAAAACCCCAGTAAGTAGAGCCACAGATGGAACACAATGGGCTGTGTGGAGGAATCCATGGGAATGGCTGCTGGTAAGGACTTGCCTTGCAGTGGGGAGGTTTCAGAACAGTCGGAGGTGGTTCTTGTCAATGTGCTAACCATGCTGATCTCTGCACCTCAAAATGGCAAAGCACACACTGGACACTTTTGTCTCAACAACAGACCCAGGTAGGACCCTCAGCAAGAGACAGGAGTTATTGGAACAGGCAAGAACTGACCACCAGAGCCTAGAATCAGGTAGAATCCAGTGTAGGGTGCTAGACCCTCAAGAAATGGCCCTCCTCAGACGGGATCTAGCCGATGGCCTCTCAGTTAATGATGCACAGATTAAGATACATGAGATGAGGATAAATATATAGGTTATATATTGTATTCTGGGAAAGTCATTTACACGAGAAACCAATGACCGCAAGTTCCCGTTCCAAGGATCCACACCCAGGCTGCTCTCCGTGACCTGACCAGAACCAAGAGAGTGAGCTAGGGTCCAAGACCCCAGACCTAGCTTCCCAAAAGTCATGTCTGTACCCGTGCCCACACCCCCAATGGGCGTGGTCAGTGCAGCAGGTGCGGGCAGGGTAGATATCTCACTATACTCAGTCTCTTGCTTCATGGTAGGCTTCCCAGCAGCGCTGGGTAGAGGGCCCTTGTAGGGGACAGTCATGTACCTGTACAACTTTTCCTTTCCCAAGTCACACATGCATCCCTGATCCCTACACCCAGGATCAACCTGTCTCAGGCCAGGTATTCCCATAGACCTCTGTCCCACTGTGGCATCAGTGCTGAGTAGGGAACTGTGGCTTGTGACAGAGAAAAGGACAAACTCCACACCCAGGATGCTTAGAACCATTGCAAAGGGAACAACGGCCTGAACAGAAAAGCTGCATGTCAACACAGGCCTGCTGGTGGAGCCAGTGTCCTAGTTTTGGCCCCACCTAGAGTTAGGAAGGCAGGACACAGAGACCACACAGTTCTTGCAACAGTTGTTGCCCAAGCATGGTTTCTGTGGGAAGATTTCATCCTGCACCCCAGGGCAATCATACCATGTGAAACACACTTTCTACAAATTCCCAACCTTGTGAGCCTAGAACGTCTGCCTACCTGGGGTCCTGGCCATTAAGAAGAGTGAGACTTCCTTATCAACAACCCAGTTGGCAGGAGACACCAAGAGAATGTGGACACACAGGCAAGGTGGGAGCCCAGAGCAAGGATCATCTAAATCCTTGATGGAGGATGTCCATCACTTTGCTTCAGGCCCCCAACTCTGTTCCTCTCTCCCATCTCTATTGCTTTCTCTCAACGATGGCACCCTTCCCTCCTCCTTAACGTCTGCTGCCCACTCACAGGGGCTTCCTCCACAGGCAATTGCATGCAGGCCTGTCTGTGACAGGTTCTCTAGAAAATGGTGCTCCCCCCACAACCTCAGCAGAGATGACACAAGAATAATAAAGCAAAGGTGACCTAGACTGCACAAAAGGCACCCCCTCCTGAGGCACGCAAGAACACCTGAGGCCAGAGTTTCCCCAGAAGGCAGAAGCATGCCTTACCTGGCAGCATCGAAGCTATCGTAAGAGCCCACTGTGTAATGCCGGAAGAGCTTCTTGCTGCGGTCAGCACGGGTTTCTGCAGAGGGAAGAGAGATACTGTTCAGCAAAATCATAGCCCACACACAGAATAGGCAAAAAGCTGAATATCTGAGATTTGCTCCAGGCAAGGTGGCGTCCACTCTGCATAGGGACATATCTGGGGAGATGGGGATGATTTGGCACCCAAGTCTGCAAAGTTTAGGGATGTTGTGAACCCTGGGCTGACCAGAGAGGAAGGAGCTCACTCTAAAACACAGATGGAATCCTGTGCCCGAACATGGAGGGGTAAGTGAGGCTCTGCAGAGCAAGGGACACAAGCCTTCCAGCCAGAACAAAGACAGCCACCTTATACGGAATCTGCTAGATCTGCATGCCCAAAGGATACTACCCAAGCTGGCAGGCCTCTGCCATCTCAGGAACCTCTGATAGTGGCCTTATCCCAGAAAGACATGATCAGGATTAATAACCTGATGATGGCTGCTTTCCTTTTTTTTTTTTAAGGGCTAAACTAAGCACACATGATTAACGCTTCTAATTAAGCCTCACTTCCCTGACTCAGCAGATTCAGACTAAAGATCGGTGGGAAATGATATGACTGTTGTAATTAGATTAGCAGATGGCACAGGGCTGGGGGGGCAGGACTGTGAAGATGCAAATGCTGGAAGCAACACAGTACACAGTGAACTTCAAGGTATTCCCCTCACAGACAAGATCCCTGCCCCGCCTCTTCTGGGGTCCTGGGGAACTCTGGGAGAAACTGAGCAAATGGCTTGAAGAAAAAGCCTGAGCTCGAGCCTCTTGTCAGTCTCTTCTCTGTCTCATTCCAAGATAAACTTTTATCACTACCCCCCATGCATGTTCCTGAGGCAGAGACAGAGCACCCCAGTTCTTACAGAGTTAGGGGAGCACCCCACTACTTACAGAGTGAGGAATCCCCTCCTGGGGTGGAAGGAGGTGTGCCTGAGGTGGGAACTAGAACTGCATTTCCCAGCTACCCTGGCACCCTGGATGTGGCTCAGTGGTTAGTTCTTCTTGAGGAGTAGGGTGGTCCCAAGCTGGGCTCTTAAGCCCCTCTGCTGTCCTTCTCTCCTTTAGCTGTCTGCCAGGTCAAGTCTCAAACCCCAGAGGGCAGGGCACCCACAGACAGAATAAAGAGGCCCAAGGCTCAGTTGGTACCTAAGTATCTGCATGGGAGCATTAGAAACCGAGATTGGTTCCCAGCACCATGTAAAAAGCCAGACATAAAGGTGTACAAAACCCAGCACAGAGGCACTGGAGGTGGGCGATCCCTGGTGCTCTCACTAACTAGCCACTCAGGTCTAATTGGAGAGCTCCAGGGTTCGTGAGAGGCCTTGCTTCAAAAAAAATAAGGTGGAAAGCGAATGAGGAAGTCACTAGATATTAACCTATGACCTCCACATGAACACACACACACACACACACAAAGGCCTGGACTTCTGTGTGTCAGAGTGGGCAGAAGTGTACACTGTACACTATATGAGAGAAAAAAAAAATCAACCCTCTGTTACACTGGGTTGCACTTTGGAGTTTCTTTGTTCCAGCAGCTCCTGCTGCCTTTCTTCACTGACAGGCAGGACAACAGGTGTCCTAAACTGGGCTCACACTTGTGTGTCCACACCTTCCATCTGCACACCTTTCTCAAACACCCAAGACTCCCACTTTCTATGCCTCTCTCAGCCATGATATTGTATTGTCACTACTGTCTTCACTAACACCAAGTGCTTCTGTGTATCAGGCCCTGCTGCGAACACCAATGAGGTACCTAGTCAATTATCACCATGGAAACCCAGTGAAGGGTGCACACGCAGCTCAGAGACCCCTCTATCTCTTTACTGTGCTAGTGTCATCCTTTGAAGGCCTGCTCTAGACTGTGGGCCCCATCACAGGGGCAATATCTTAGTTAAGTTAAAGTTGAAGGCATTTTGGTAGTTTAAATGTCAGGCTGTGTGTACATTACCTCTCTAATCAACCATTTCTTGGTCTACTATTGAGGCCACACAGCTTGAAGGCCATCAACAAAAATGTGCCAATAGTTGCCAGGACATCCCTTCATAATGAAAGTTGAAAGCAATGGCATTTTGCAAACAAAGCAAGCAATTTAATTTTAGGAAATGCACTCTAACAGACAGTAAACTGATGGCCCAAAGTGAAATTGTCAGGTTATAAATTTGTCACCCAGATTTAACATTAACCATCAATGTGGCATAGCCTAGAATCACCCGCAAGAGTCTCCACTGAGTAACTCCTTATCAGGTAGGTCTGTGTACCTGTCTATAAGGGATTGTCTTAATCCATGTAGGATTGCCCAGAACACTGGACAAGTGGTCCTAGTTTGTATAAGAAAGCTGGCTGGGCATGAACCTGAGAGTGAGTATGCAGACAGTTTCCTCCAGGGTTTCTGCTGCAAAGCCTTGGCTGTAAGTGAGTTCTCTGGTCAGAGGTTAACACCACATGGAATAGTGAGAAGCCTTGCTCCAGATCTTTGCCTTGCGTCCCTGCCCCGATTTCCCTCACACACACAGTGACCAAGAAGTTCAAAATGAAATAACCCTAACTTGTTTTTTGGTAACAGTTTTATCACAGCAACAGAAAACAACTAGAACATATTGTGTGTACAAAGAAAGGAAATTGGGTGCAAAATGCTGGACTGTAGACACAAAATAGTAAAAGGGTGGTCATCTTGTTTACACCTGTCACTCCACTCCCATACTGTTACCACCTGAATCCTAACAGCCCTGTCCCTTTCCTGTGGGCATCTGTTCACAAGGAGGAAGGCCTGGGTACATTTAATGGGTGGCATCACCGAGATCAAATCATGTGTCCACTTCATGTCACCCAGCACAGATCCAGTGCCTTCCTTTTCTGCCTGTACCCTGGGTCAGGGACATATCTTATGCTGTCCTCATGGCTCCAGGATGGGCATTACCTTGTGTCTCTGAATAGTCCTCCTATTCTATAGTCTGGGGGAGATAGAGTTCTGTGAGGTCATGAGGGCGGGGCCCTCATGAGCCATTGACAGGCCGGAGGACTGCTCACTATGAGTATTACTATGAGTTGCTTTGGTTGTCTCCATCCCATGTGGCAAGTTGTCAACCAGTTGGAAACTAATGAGTGCCAAGAGTGGATAGGGCTCTGGCTGGGCTGGAGGGTACAGGGCAGAGAGAGGAATGTGTAGTGAAATGCTTATGCATGTGTGTATGTGTGCCTGTGTACATGTTCATGCATTCTTATACATATTCATGTGTGCCTGAGTACATATGCATGTGTATATACATACATGTATATGGGAGAACTTTTATGTTCAGGCTTACAGTGACTATATTAGTGACTGTGTGCATGTGTTCATATGAGCATGTGTTTGGGTACAGATGCATACGTGTATAAATGCACACACATGTTTATGTGATTAAAAATGTGTGTACAGGTCCATGGGAATGTATACACACATTTATGTGTGTGTGCATTTATACAAGTGATTGTATATATGGGCACACATGTGTGTATGTGTGCATGTAGGTAAGAAAGAATGTATATAGAGGTACATGTGTGAGTGTGCATTTGAGCATGTGAGCACAGGTGAATGTGTGTAAACACACATGTGGGTGAGCATCATCACCGTTTATAATCATAGCCTCAATCCTTACCACCATCACAACCATCATCACCATCACCACCAGCCCCTAGTCATCCCCATTACTGTAGAAGATTTACTTAGCTTCTCTCTGCTTTGCTAGGGATCTGCATCATCATATTGGTCTTCTACCTGCTTGGGTCCTCACACAACACCCAGCAGCCAGCCCGTGTCCTGGCTCCATCTTCCAGAAGTAGCAGTGCAGTGATGAGGGGCAAGGTTCTGAAGCTAGACTGGTGGAATTCCAAGGTCACCTCTGTCACTGGCTGTGTGTCTTGTATTTGGCTTGTGATGTGGGGACAGCACTGGTCCTACTCACACAGAGGCACCTGAGTGGCTGGAGGTGAGGCCAGTTGGGCACACAGTACATGGGAAGTGTGTACCCCTTTGGCTATAACTATCACATGCCATACCTTAGATTCAGAACTTCTGCTTTCCACAGACCTTCAGAAGTCACACAGCCTATGAGAGGCAGTGTGGGCCCCTAATCCAGTTGTTTAAACACAGATGCCATGCTGTGTACACACCCTCACCCAGCTTAAGTTTTGACCCAGGGTAGATGTGTAGGCTGGATGGTTCTTGGGACTCTTCCTGCATGTGACAGTGGCTTATGTTACACCTAGTGTTTGCCTTCCCAAGCTATACAGTATACGCTGTGTGCCAACCCTTCTGGAAGCTCATGGGCTGCACAGGCAGATGTAGGGTATAAGTAAGACTCACCCAAAAAGTCAGGGCAACAGAAGGAGGCCTGAGGCTCATGCAAGGACAATGGCCAGGACAGATGCCTACTAGGACTTATACTCCCACTTGGGTCTTCAGGGAAGCACCAGATCAGCTGAACCTGACACATCACTTCCTGGGCTGTGGCCGAAGCCCTGCTCTCTCTGCTTCCTAAGGAGGCAGGAGGCCCTGCTGTCTCTCCTCGGTAGACCTGATAGAGGCAGCCATAGGCTTCCCTCATTCTCCGGGAGTTCAGCATTTCCCAATCCCAGCCACATGGGTAGCTGAGGCCACCACAGTCTCTAGTTCAGAGCACTAGCAGTTGGCATGGGACCTTGATGTGGCCACCCCTGTGACTTCATTTGTTGTGAGCTTCTTGCCCTGCTGCTGTGAGTCCCATTTCTGAGGCCTCCAAGAGTGGCCTGGCTTTATGAGATTAAACTCACAGGCAGGAGAACACAATCTAGGGAGGGTCAGCAAAAGAGACAGACAGACAGACACAGACAGAGGAGGACCCAGAAAATTGTCACTTTTAATACACGACCTTACCTCTAACTTACAAGCCTATCTGCGTCATTTCTGCACTGATTAAATTCAGCCTGCCACTGCTGACACACAAGGCCTTGGTCATGTACAGGCCATGCACACCAGTGTACCAATGGCCA